GGGGGCGTTTCCCCCTCCGCCCTTCTCCCATCTCCTCGCTGGAAGCAACGCCGGACCCAGAAGGAAGACGAGCCCGGGCTTGGCATGCGCAGTGGCGGGTGGTGGACCAGAAAATGCAGGCAGGGCTACGTCTCCTGCTTAAGGAGACAGAGGAGCGTGGTCGGACGAAGGGGCCGGCAAGGGAGTCCGTGGAGGAGAGCCTTTTGCCTCTGATTGCAGACATGGAGCGGTCATTGACGGCGTTGCGAAAGGTGGTGGACTGACAGAGGGATAGAAGAAGGGAGGGAAGGCACTGCCACAGGAGCGCAATCGATGCGTGCAGGAAAGGTTTTCGCGCTGGAATGGCGCGCGGCATGTGCCATGATGGAATCAACTTCAAGGGGAGAGGACACTTGCTTGACGAGCAGTGTTGTACCATTTGATGACGAAAGCCCAGCATTCAGGAATCGATTCTTTTAAAACATCCACAGACATTTGTGGTAACGAGATGAAGATCTTAATTCGTTGGGTTCAGAGAACCAAATCAGTAAAAAGCATGGGAAAACGTAATGTGTAGAGGATTACATGAGGTGAGCGGGGCTTGGAACACTTGACGCAGACTTCGATTTATCTCACTGTCCGCGGACAGATTCTTCACTTCATGTCATAAAAAATAACATCAAAGGTGTTGAAGCCCCATGGCCTGAAGCCCTAAACCATTTTCTCTTTTCCCCCCGCGAACCTGTACACTGCTCAAAGCATTTCCATGACCCTTCCCCCCTACTGCCCCCGTCCACCAAAGAGGGCCGCCAGCCCTGCCAAAACGCCACCCTCTTTCCCCTTCTCCCCTCTTTCCGAGCCTTGGGGGGGTACCTTTCCCCCTTCCGTACCCCCGCCCCGCCCTTCGAAGCGGTTCCGCAAGTCGTAAAATGACCTCAACGCCGCCCGCTCCTCTACAGAGAGGTCCGGGTGCCAAAAGTCGACGATCAAGACGTAGCGGTCCTCCGTGCTCCCGTTCCCGGTCTCATGCTCGAACGTGGTATCGATGACCAACGCCTTGCCCTCTTGCCAGGACCGTCGCTCCCCGCCCACCCGGATCCAGCACGCGCCTTCCTCCTTGGGTATCCGTAGGCCCAAATGCATAGTCAGGATGAAGTTTCGCCCGTCCGAGTGAGCTTGAACCCCGGTTTCCGGGGCCTGTCTGGCGAACATGACGCCACGGACGGCGAAGGGAATGGGGAGGGAGGCCAAGACGGAGAGGGTTCGGGGAAAGCGGGCGCAGACATCCTCGTTCCACAGTCCCAGCCGTTGCAGGCGCAGGGCCGTCCACCCTGCACCCATCACAGTCATCACGTTGCTGTCCCTGAGAAGAAGGAAAGGACCACGGTAAGGAGAGCTATCAGAGCGTGCAGTGATTACCCCAGCGCAACGGGGGGAAGGAACGCGCCGGTGCTACAAACAACGGCTGAATGCGCGACAAGTGGGCCCCCATTCTCCTATCGTGCGATGGATCCACTATCCATGATGCCACGCCACTTACGCCCTGAAATCCTGCGGGTCCTGTCCTTGGCCTAGGGCTTGTCGTAGCTCCTCTTGGATAATAGGGGTCGCCTCCTCCAAGCCCCGGACCCACTCGAAACTGTAAGGGTCGTGCCACGGCTTAGCCGTCAAGCCGGGCACATACTCTTCAGAAGGTTGAAAGTAGGGGAGATCAGTTGGCGCCGAGGGAGGTACGGTCCCAGCTTTACAGGATTCCACGAAAGCGCGCACTCGGCTGATATCACCTTGGCCGGGGGGAAATTGTGTCTTCAATTCCTCGTCGACCGCGGCAAAAAATTTGTCCCGGAGGGAGACCATGTACATGCGTGAGAAAGACGAGGTGCGAGAACCCGGCATGGTAGCCACGGCTCCAAAATTTGTGCACTGCTCGAGTTCCTGAGCATCAGTCAAGGCGTGAGGGATAACTGGGGTGGCAGGAGGTTGGAGGAAGGCTTCGACACGAGCAAGACATAGGACCAGGAGGAAGACTGCGCCTGGCGCAAGATGTCGTCCTGTGGCTATGGCCATGGCTCCCTACCTATTACGATGGGACACATAAAAAGCGGTCATAAGCGTCATAGCGCGCGCCACAACTGAGGGATATCGAAGGCTACGACAACCCTGCTCGACTGCCCCACGACAACGAGTGTTGAAGCTCGCTAGCAGTAAGAATACTTGTGCAGAAGATGTCGACACATATGGTTAAAAGACACCCTTGGTAGTCACTCGCACGACTTCTACGAAAATAAAGCCATTGTAGCTCACTAGGCTGGCGCGATTAGGCGGGAAGAGGATTATCAAGGTTATCAAGGGACTGGGGAGGTTGTATTTAAAACGACTCATCTTGTCTGAGGACAAAAGAAAATTGAAGTTTTCTTTCCAATTATATTAGTCCTCGAGAGAAGGCATTTATCAAGCTGGTTTTGTTTTAAAAAAATACCCCTCTCAACCTCAATTGTCGAGCTGCAGCGGTTTTCCTTTTTTGTGGGATATGAACGACTGGATGCTTACGCGCGTGCCCAGGGGAAAGCCCGCCACGGCATGCGGCCGCTGCGCACATATTAAAATCAGATCTCCTGCTACTGGCTTGATCATCTTGGGTTTTGGCAATCGAGCTCTCAGAATATCTTGGCCAGCTTCTCCGGCGGTGGTGAGAAGAGCAAGCGTGCTAGCATTTTGGTAAAATTCGAAGCGCGAACGCACTTCTAAGTCATAGATGAGAAGTTCACCGCCACCAGTACCTGGCAATTGGAGGTAAAGATTGGCGCTGAAAAGGCCTTCGTCTGGAGAGAGAGGATGGATGTCGTCGCAGTGGATAAAGCCCTCCAAATGCCTCGTGGGCCCCTGCATGACCCGCGCCAACCCCGCCACGAAAGGCCGCCCGTCCTTGGGGTGCTTCGTCACGGTGGCGCCTTGGGGAAAGATCTCGTCGAGCTCCAGTCGAAGCTTGTCGAGTGGCCCAAGCACAGGCAGGGTCGATGCATGCTCAGCACCTTCTCCCGCAAGTCCTGCATCCCTCGAGCTAATGCCTTCTCGAAGCTCACGCATGCATGCCAAAGCCCCGTCAAAGTACGCCTTTTCGGCCTTTTTGTCACGTAAGGATGCCACCATGTTGTAAGGTTGAGAGCCAATTGTGCGGACATCGGAGCTCTCTAAGCCCTTTTGGGGATTGCTGATAAGCCATTCCAGCTGTCGTGAGGGATCTCTAGTTAGGCGTTGCGCTATTCCTTTCGCGGCTTCCGGGGGATAGAATCCTTGAATATGCACACAGCAAGTACGATGGGCGAGCAGCTGTCCAGTAATTGTGTTTGAAAAAGCTTCATTTACTATGTATCCGTCTTGAGGAATGGCTAAACCCTGGCCCGCACTACAATGAAAGAATATGCGCACATACCTCCTCCAAATGCTCCCGTTTCAAATTTGTTGCCGTGATGATAGGCTTCTGTCGTATAAGATCTTGTATTCGCCCGCCGAAATGCTTTTCGAACAGGTGGACGGCCCGCGTCAGCATGACTAAATTGGTTTATGGATAACCTCCTACTGTCTGCAATCAGACCCGGAGTGGCTTAATTTTGAGACAAATTTCGTCCTCCCTGACCCGTACGACTTCATGGGCGTAAAAACAGCAACAATTTTGACTGTGGCCCCATATATTGCCACGGATGTCCCTGTTGGTACGGTGAAGATTAAATCAGAAGTCAAGCAAGGGCGTTCATCCCCATCGCCGTCTGCCCCGTCCCAGTGGGCGGAGAGGGGGTTCCTTCTGTCGCGAAAAGACCAACACAACAGTCAACCCGCCTTTCCTTTTCCACAGCGAACAAATCACAGAGCTTAAGAAGAAGAAGAGATGAGCACGAGGGTGGCATTCTTGGACTGCAAATGCGGCGTTGCGGGTGACATGCTTTTGGGTGCTTTGATAGATGCGGTGAGTGACGGGCTGAAGTGCAACTTGAGATGGAATGTTCCGCAAGCACCTTGACCTTTCCTCCACCTCTTCTCGCGGAACTCGTCCGCGTTTGATGTTTCAGGGTGCTTCGCGTGAGAAAGTTGTCGACGGGTTGAGAAGCATTCATGCGTTGGCAGAGGAATGGGAATTGGAAACGGAGAAAGTGGTCAGGAGCAAAGGACGCATTGCTGCAACGCTCGCCCGGGTCAAGTCCATCTATGGCCACGAAGAGATTCCTGTTGACACGCAGAGGGGGCAATCAGCCGCGTCAGATGAAAATAAAAGAGGAGGCAGTGGTTGTCATGCGCACCACTCTCATGAGCATCACAGCCATGCCCACCACGAGCATCATCACCGCCCGCATCGCAACCTGGAGATCATCCGAGAAATGATTATGAACGCCGATGGCCTGCCGGTATCAGTGCGTCAGCAGAGCGTGGCTGTTTTTACGGCCTTGGCGGAAGCGGAAGCCGCCACGCACGGTGTGGCGGTGGACAAGATCCACTTCCATGAAGTGGGGGCAGTGGACAGCATCATTGACACGGTCGGCACGGTGTACGCCTTGCACCTGCTGGGCGTCCAGGAAGTGCACGCCTCCGCCTTACCCTACGGGGAGGGATTCACGGGCGAGACCGCGCATGGCATTTTGCCTGTCCCCACCCCAGCCACCCTGCGTCTCATGCTGGGCATGCCCATGCTCCCCGGGCCCCGGGGCGCCGCGGGAGAACTCGTGACGCCCACAGGGGCCTCTTTGGTCAAGGTGCTGGCCGCGGGTCGCATGGGCCAGCCGCCGGTCTTCGTCCCCGACCTCTTGGGGGTAGGGGCGGGGAGCAAGGATTTCCCCGGCCACGCGAACGTGGTCCGTGTCCTGGTCGGGGACCGGCCCCTCTCGAGCGAGGAGGGAGGGACGGGGGACCTGGGGGTGGTTCGGGCGTCGAGGCCTGTGTGGGAAGCCGGGAACGGGGGCGAGGACGGCGTGCTCGCCCATGCCCAGCGGCTTCGTCCCTCCTTCCATCCCCCGGCGGGCTACCTGTCCGAGAAGGGCGAGCCGGTGCAGCCCATGACTGTGCCCTCCCCCCTCCACCCTCCCACCGAACAACTCCCGATCCCCGCCCCTTCTGCGTCCGCCTGGTCCTCGGGCGGGTGGGAAGAGCGGCATTTGTGCGAGTTGGAAGCCAACTTGGACGACATGACCCCCGAAACTGCAAGCTTTGCCTTGGAGAGGCTGTTGGCCCAACCGGGTTGTGCAGACGTCTGGTACACGCCCGCCGTGATGAAAAAGGGGAGGCCGGGGCTGACCTTGCACCTGCTCTGCGAGCCTTCCGCGGCCCCGGCCTTGCTCCGCTGCATCTTTTTGGAGACTCCCACCCTGGGTGTCCGGGCCCATACTGTCGCGCGCTTGGCTCTGGAACGGGACTTCGTCCTGGTCCCCACCCGATACGGTCAAGTTCGGGCGAAGGTGGGCCGGATGGGAGGGGTGGTGGTGAACGTGAAGCCCGAGTACGAGGACTGCCGCGGCGCGGCCATGGCCTTGGGCCTGCCTTTGCGGGCGGTGGTGGACGAGGCTACCCGGGTGGCT